TTTCATAGGAAGTCTAATTAGAAAAAAACAAAAATGACAAAGATTATTGTATCTTTATCCAGGAAAGACAAGTAGAGGGAAAATGCTTCTGAAAAAATGGACTTGACATCTTTCCCCTCTTCTATTGCTCATAACGTCCATTTCTATCACTCCTTCCTTTTGCTTACCTTCCTCTTGTGCAGGTGTCTCTTCCATTATATACAAAATGCCGCAAAGATCCATGACACAAGTCATGCATAAATTGCCAAACATCTGGCAGTCTTGCTTCAGTGTGAGCTGTAGGGCACCTCCCAAGTTGTATAAATATTAAAGTTCCACATTTTGCTTTTGAGTAATGGATCAGAGTTTTATTTTTCCCTATGGTTGCTTTGCCAAGCCTAATGAAATCTTTATATAAGTAACTAAGATGAGAAAGAAACACTCCAAAACATTAGTTTGGGCTTTTGCCCACTGCATTTTTTAGGGAAGTGAGTGAGCATCTCAAACTACAACTGTTCTCAGTGGGATAGCTATTTTCAAAACCAAGCTAAGTCCAAAAATCCATATCAATTTTCTGCTTTTGTTGAAGAACCCTCTCTCATTAGGTGATCAGTTTAGGATGGCTTGGGTTGAAAAGAACCCTAATGATCAACCTCACATTTTCTGCAAATTTTCCTACCTGCTTTTACATTCCTGAACATCCATCTCTCCTGCCTAGTTACCTACCTCCTTTCAATTTCTGAATGTGATTTCTGATCACTGACTGCATTCCCTCAGTTAGATTAAGAGTTGGTCTGCACGCACAAAAGGCAACAATAGGTGGGAGATTCTAAGTGATACTCTGTTCTTGCTAGTCCCAGAATCCTCTGTCTCCATGAGTCCATAGGAGCAGAAGAGCACAATGGCTGCTGGGGAACCCAAATTAAGGACTCGGAGGAAGGAGCACCCTGGCTGTGCTCTGTCAGGTTTGCTGCAGGAGAAGATCCTCAACCCCAGGGTTCAGGCATGAAATCCACCCAGTGCTGGTTTAATTTTTAGACTAGATGAGATGGTTGATGAGGGATATGTGACAGACTGTGGGATGCAAGGAAGGAGCATCATGGGATTTCACAGGACTTACTACTGGATTTGTGGAGGAAGAAGTGGGGAAAATAGAAGAATAATGGGAGGGCTGTTTGTTTGTGAGTAGTTTGCTGGCTGGGGTGTCTGGGGCTTATCTGTCCCCAGGTGCCAGCAGGTGGCGGATACTGGGGGATACAGTCAATGTGCAGAATGGCTATTTGAACCCAGTTGCTGTCTGTATTTGTGCGAATGCTGTGTGTTATCTGTGTGGCAAGGCGTGTGTACATACATACACAGTGCACACATATGCTCTGTGTTTGCTTACAGGGATTCCGCGCTTATCCTCAGTACTGTCTGGACCTTGGTCATAGAGGTACAGCAACCTCAACCTCTTGTGTGCTGCCAGAACCAGCATGATTTCTCCTAACATTCTCCCTTTCACTCAGGGCTTTCGGTGCAGGAGCTGATAATACTGCACTGTTTACCTGTCCATGTAACTACCTTTGATTCCACACCAAATAATGTAGATGTTGTACTGTCATATCAGACTCCAGCTCAGAGGAAAACAAAAATACAAGAAAACTAAAATTCACTGCAGAACTTTATAAGTAACTTTCTAGCTCTTGTTCATGTGTTTTAGCTGATTCCCCACCCTGTCCTAGTCAGATGTCCAGAAGATAAAAGAAGACTTTTCTGTAGGGCAAATATAGTCTGTAATTTGGAATTTGGACATACTCCTTTCAGCAAAGGAAAGCCAAAACTGAAGGAGAAATACAAATGTGCCCTAAAGCCTCTCAAGAGAAACACCATTATCTGCCCAGTCAGTTCTGTAGATTGAGCATATCTACCAACTGGGGTTTAATCTACACATTTTCCAGCATTTATCTGATCCTTACCTGAACAAAAAGTATTCCTTTTGATGTTCTCCCTACTGAAATAAAGTTTCATCACTACATGTAGGTCCTGGCATGCAGGATAGTGTAATGCTGTAATTTGGTACCTCCCTGCTTAATCATCCAATGTGAACATGGGATTATGATCTCTGAGCTGAAATTCCTTACTTATTTATTGAGAATGTTGTTAAGAAGTGGAGGTACTATTGACCCTGGAGAGGTTCAGGGAATGTTTAGATGTTGTATTGAGGGAGATGGTTCAGTAAGAACTATTGGTGATTGGTGGACGGTTGGACTGGAGGATCTTATAGGTCTTTTCCAACCTTGGTGATTCTATGGTTCTATGATTCTAAGTGAGGGTTATAAATATGTACATGAAGTCCTATAAGGTACTATTTTCAAGTGCTATTAATGAGATAGGTTACCTTTGTGAAAATGCATTATTTGTTTATTGTACTATGAGAGCAAGGTAGCTTCAAAGAAGTTGAAATCAGATGAGAAATATCACTGCAGTTGATATGATTTTGGAGCTGATTTAGAATGGCTTCTTGATAACAGACTGTGTTTTTGTCTTTATCTTGCACATTTTAAGTATCAAGCATATTATCAAGTATCTGATGCTAAAAATTACAGATCAACTTATGCCCAGAGATGTCCCACTAAAATTATTGCCCAAAATTATTTCAACAGAAACACACTCTCAACTTGTGTTCAGCTTGTGGTTTCACTTCCCCCAGTCCATTTTTGCAGTGTAGCTTCCTAGTGATTTGTTTCCCATATAATATGGGTTGTTATTATTTAATTTTATTGTATTGGTCTAACCTCATTTCACCAATTTATCATGATTATTTTGAATTCTAATTTTGTTCTCCACTGTGCCTGCAGTCCCTCTCAGCTTCATTATCCACAAATTTAAGCAGCTTTTCTTTTCCATAAGTCACACTGTTTGTGAAATCAGTCACTAGAAGTGTGGTCCCCACCTAAGCAATGTGTGATGTAACCTTCTGATAATTGCCTTAAAAAATGTCTCTTGACTTTCTATGCTTCTATGTTCAGGCAAAACAGATATGCCAGGCACTGGCTTCTCTTTTCTACTCTTTCAGTGTTTGGGGGATGTCATGGTAGACCATTTTCTCCTTTTTCTGCAAGAAAAGTAACTGTATATACACCTAGGTTCTATACATGATTTGGCTTGTGTTTCTTTCTGTTCACTGAGAGAGGATCAACCAGGAAAAGTAAACAGGTTAGTCATTCACAAGGTTTTGTCTCAATAAATGGATAGTGGATTCTTAATGTTACTTTTTAAAGTGCTTACAAATTGATTATTTAATCATTTGCTTTGGCACATTTTGCAAAACAATATTATGCTTACTGATCTTGAATTCACCAGGTGTTTATTTTTCTTTTTCTTAAAGTTAAGATCGATACTTATCCTTCTCCATCCCTTTCAGATGTCATCTATTCTCCATGAAGTCTAGAAGATAATCACTAATGATTCAAAGATTGCTTTGCTCTAAGATAAATTTCCTCAGGCCTTGTGTCTTGAATATATATAGCTTTCCTGAATACCTAAATATTCTCCAATGTATTCTGTTTCTACTATGGCCTAAATTCTCATCCTTTTGTTGTTAATGGCAATCTTCTGAAGCATCTGATCACTATTACCCTTTTGTGAAAAAGGAAGCAAAGAAGCCTGGGACATTTCTGTCTTCTCCATGTAATCTGTTATAATATCTCAACCTTCTCTATAGAGCTCAGGAAATTTTACTTCACCTTCTCATGTTCTCTAATGTTTTTATAATGTCATTTAAACAATAAAATGAAATAAAAAAAATTAACTATCCTTTGCTAGGTTATTATCCATTGCATTTACACATTTGCACTTATCCATTCCTGGTTTTGTCTGCGTGTGCTCCTGTACTGCTTTCTTAATCACTCTAATCATTTTCCCCCTGTTTATACATTTTGGACAATTTTTTTTTTTTTTTTTTCCCTGAAGAACATAGAAAGTTCTCGGTGATTTCATATCAATTTTACTACACTTACATTTTGGAACTGTTTGATTTCAATATTGCTTAGTTTTGTATGTGTTGCCTTCCCAACAATCTTTGCCCCCATAATTCCCTTGCTCAGGACTTTGTTTACCGAACCTTGAGTTTAATTTATTTAAATCTGCTTTTATTTTAGGTTTATTGTAAATTTCTGGCTCTCCCTCTTGCTTTCTGAGAAATCAAAAATTCTGTAGAAATGAAAGCTGCTGTTGCAGGAGCTGTCGTTCTGAAGAAAGATTTTTTCCAGCGTTCCTGCTGGGGCATCACGCTACTGAACAAGATTAATCTGCCATAGTAGGTACTTTCTGATACTGAACATAAGAGAGAAAAAGGATATTCTGCACTGTGACAGCTGAAAAGTGCAAACTCTGCATTATGAAGAATGGTCTGGAAAAGGACTAATAATACAAATGACATTCTATTTACACAGTAGATTTTTTGGTGTATGTATTAGGGAGAATGTTGTTTCATCTTTCACTGAAATGCAACCATTCCAAAGTGGGCAGAATGCAACAGTATCATATATTCTAAGAGTGAAATTATCAGGAAACATTAAATCCCTTATGTGGAAAAGTATTCTTTCCAGTTCACAGGAATCTTTCCAGTTTACATTATCTTTGAAACAAACTGACCTGTCCAGCTTCTCTGGATATATTACTCACTGATATTTTGTATTAAAAATTAGTTTTGCATTCAAATATACAATAAATATTATTTGTTGAAAGCAGTGCAATTTCCTTCAAATGTAGAGTAAGAATTCCTAATTGATCCTGTGAAAGAATATTATTGCTAGCAGTGAGCGTATCAGCTCTTGGAGAACATTTCCTGCTTCGCTCTGGGCATGGTACTGTATACACAGTATATGGCCATTTCTGAGCCTTCTTATCTGTAGTGCAACTGCTAAATTATGGCTTGAACCAGTGATGGAACACCTGGTGGAAAGGCAGGGCCAACCCAGGGGAGCACAGGTGCAAGCAATGCCCCTGAGTGAACAGAAGGGTTGAAGCCAGGATCCATTCCTTCTCAGACCTCATTTAAGGGTTGGTTGTGGAGGCAAGAGCTTCTCATTTGGCAATCTCTGTCTACCTGAGGACTTTACAGGCTTTCTGAAGGTAAGCAAACTTCTTTCCTTTATTTCTGTTCTCACTGCTGTTGTATTTGAGCAGATCTTCTCTCGCTGCAGCCTGGGATCTAGCTGCTCTGCTGTCTTGTTTGGCTTTCCATTGTGTTACAGTATCTGACAATGATTTTCTGTTTCACAATGCTTGAAATTCAGATATGAGAACAAATGCATTAATGCTATGTAGATGGAGGTAGAAACTTATTGCTAGCCTGAATTAATGCTTTAATACTTGCTGTGGTGTAACCCAATGGGTAGCTTAGCACTATACAGCCTTTTGCGCTCTTCTCCCTCTCTCCTCCCTCCCCCAAAAGGGTAGGGGAAAGAATTGGAAAAGAAATAAAACTTGTAGGTTTAGATAAAAATTACTTACCAAAACAAAAAAAAGGGAATAATAGTAATAATATACAAAGCCTGCTCCAAAAGTAATACCTCCTATTTCATTATGTTTGCCCATGACATCAGAGGCTGGTGTTGGTGGTATCTCAGTAAAGATTGAATCTTCCCACCGGTGTTCTGTTACCTGTTGTTGTGTGACAGATGGCGCCAGAGGGGAGTCTGCAAAATGGTGTCTGGTATGGAAGTGCATATGATGCAAGGGAGTGGGAATGTGTTCCTTCATGAGGTAAAAATGGCGCTCATTGACTGTCGCGGTTTTGTGATTTTTGGTTTTTGGTATTCCACATCATAACATCATGTAGTGCACTGGAAGTTAAAGTGTTTATGCTCCAATTCTGGGTACCTGTGGGTACCTGTCCCTGTGCATCATGGAAGTCTTGGGATCTGACCCTTCATGGTGGGGCGGTCTCTGACTGTCTTGCAGTGGGTGTTGGCGGGTACTTTCATAGCTGTACCAAGCTTTTCAGATTTGGCTCAGGTCTCAGGAACTCCCTGTCTCCTATTTTATTTGATGTATCAGTCTCAATTTCAATTGGATTGCATTGTACTATATTACCTTGCTTTCCAATATCATAGTTAGTAAAATAAGTTTTCCTCCATAGATCATTGCCACTATTTTTAGTTCCTTCCTTGAGCCCATCTCCCTATCCCTTTTCCTTCCCATTTTTTGGGGCCAGGGAGGGGCCTGAAGGCCTACTGCCCCCTTGTCATGGGCCTAGATTGATCTAGTTAATTCCGTAACATTGACATTCATGGATGCTTATTGAATATTTAGAGACCAAACAGTGGATGTGAGCACACTGAAGCAGTGGCTCATGTATTTCAGCAGCGGTGACAATGATATGGAAGAAAAGCAATGTTCTGGGTGGCCATGCACAGCTGTCACACTGTGAAATGAAGAATGTCTTGATCATCCACGTGAATCAGCTGGTGACTATGTTGAAAAATAGTGTTATCTAGCAGGAAGTTTGCTCTATCAAATAGTGTTATTGCACTCTTTGTATCTGCTGTAGTTTCCATGGAAATAAACTGGAGGCATATCAGAGTAACGTAATTGAGTGTGTGTATACATATTTACAAAACAAGTGATGCACAAAGCAATTACTTACCATCTGCTTGACTGTACACAGTCAGTTTCCAAGTAGCGGCTGTCCCCCAGACAGTTCCCCTCAGTTATAGATTTTTTTTTTTTTTTTTTCCTCACAATATCATATGGTCTGAAACATCCTTCTTGTGATATATATATATTTTTTTTTTGGATTGGCTATCCTGTTTCTGTCCCATCCCAGATCCTTGTGCTGACTGGACAGTATGAGAAACTGAAAAACTGAAACATCCTTGACTTTGTGCAGCGTTGCTCAGCAACAACTGAAACATTGGTGTGTTATCAACATTGATGTTCTTCTAAAGTCTAAACATGGCATATCAGCCACTGTGAAGAAAATCAGCTTTGTCCGGGCTAAAACCAGGACAGTAGTCTAATAGTCCAAGCTAACACAGTCTTCATAAATACTATTGAAGTTTTTATGACAAAACTACTTAGTTCTCCCTTCTCTTCAATAGCATTGTGCTCACCACTTCAATGTCCTTCTGTGTCCAAAGCTGATACTCTCACGAATAATGAAGAGAGGGGAGTCAGTAACAAGTCATCACTCTCCTATGGACTTTGACAACTGACTGATGTTTAAAACATGGCTTTCTTCCTTAGTCTTTCATCTGTTTGGATTTATTTTTATATACTTTCTTTATGTGTTTGCTTATTGTCATTGGATCTAATTATATATACGTATTTTCTTTAAAACTGGTGTCGTGTTACTCACAAGTCTGCACTGGTATAGTGACTGCTGCTTACCTGTTGTTATTTTTTTACAGTCTGAGATCTCTGATCATCCACTCACAGCACATTTTTGCTCTTGAGTCCTGAATTGTATAACCCCTTAGAATAGGTTCTTCCTGTTACAAGCTCAAACTAAGCTAGATTTAATTTAGACAGTAGCTAGTTCACTTCTAAGCAATGGATAATACAACCTTGCCTAAGAAAATCACCTCGTGCCAATAAGAGTCTTGGTAAGTCTTCAGGCCCAACACATATGGGTGTTTTTTTGCCAATAGTAGCAAAATCATTTCTACTGGGCTACCCTTTGTCACTACAAAAGATAAATGGTAGATCTACACTAGGTCAATACCTTGACCCAGTTAAGTGCTGCTAAACAGATCTGTGCCATCATTTCTGTTCCTATACTTGAATCACTGTTTATTTGCCTAATAGCATCTGTGTTTCTCAATTTCCTCAGTATGAAATACAAATAATACTATTTCCAGGGATCTCATTTGTAGAGTAATTTAAATGTAATGAGGATATGTCTTATTAAGTACTAATATTATGAAAGTGTTAATATATGGAAGGTCCTAAAATAAGTTTCTAACCTCTCTTTTAGACAATTTATCTGGTATGATATTTCAGGGCACTAATATAAACTTTCTTTTTCTGACAGTCACTAGTGTTCAAGAGAACTAGTGGAACTCTGGGAGACACAGTAGGTACTGCAGCTCACTGATTTCATTTGGGAATTCTAAAACAGGTAATAACAACAGAATAAGTCTGCTGAATCAGTTTGTCATATAGTATTAGTTTATCTTGGGTAGTGGAACTGTAAATCGTGGTATGTGCTGTAATTTTTTTTTTTTTTTTTTTGGCAGCTATAAAATGCAATTTATCTAAATATTCAGCTAAGGAAAGATAAGAAATGTTAAATCTTCATCTTCTGAGGAATTAGTTATTACTTTTTGTCTTGCCTTTGGCCGTGAAAATCATCCAAGAGTCAGATGGGGCGCTATTATATTTCTATGTTATATATTTCAGCTGAAACATTTCTTATGCCTTCCAATGGTGCCGCGTGACCAACTATACAGACAATACTGGTAAACACATGTTTAATGAGTAGTGGTGAGATCAATCAGCTCCACCTCAACATAGCAACAAGAAAATCATATTTGAGGGAAAGAAAAGGAAAAGGCAAACCATGGGCAAGTGGAACAAGAAAGAGCAGAGGCTCACCGGTAGCCCTGTGTGCCTGAAGTTGGACTTGTTAAGCAACTCCCTGCAGTGACTATTTTCTTGTGTGTTTTTTGCAGAGGGAGGGGGGTCCCTATGGGCTGACCCACCAGGAAATCTTTAAGGGACTCTGTGTTTAGTTCTGCATCTATTTTTCCTTCTGATGGCTGATAAATCTGGAAGGGAAGGACTTTTGTGTCAATAGCTGGAGGGCTAAATTTCCTGTGGTAAATGTAGAAGACCTTTCAGATGGTGCAGGCTCTGTTCTGGCTGAAGACAAGACTGTTTTATCCCTTTAAAGCATCAAGAGATAGAGCCCATTAGAGATGTGAAACAACCTGCAGTTTGTATGCAATTGGACTGGGAGCTAAAAAAAAATTGCTGACTTTATTCATTAAGGCAGACACAAGAAATGCTGTCATATTCTTTCTAGAAATAAACATCTCCTTGATCTCTAATGGTTCCAAATTAGATTCTCACTTATAAAATATTTTATTTTGCATATTTATGTTATATTATTTAGTATATGCATGTTGTTTGCCAGATATACAAGTTTGCCATTAAGTCTATAGTACTTTCCTGCTTCTAAATGACTGTATAAAGTCATTCTGTCAATGTGGCATCCATGCAAGTGTAGCAGCTTTTCTGATATTGAACATCAACACTTTTTTTAATAAAAGAAACAACCAGAAAAGGGCACAAGAGGACATTTAAAAACATGCTTGAAATCAGACATGAAAAAAAGCACCTCTGTAGCTATAAAGGCTGATTGAAACACTGTGTGCTCTCATTCCACTCTTCCCAGCCTCCTCCGATTATGAAGGCAGTACTACAGAATCATTAAAAGAGAAGGGCTTAGCCTCTGGATTCACACTGGTAGTTTGATAAAAGGAAGGGCTCAGCTAGTGTTCTTACACTAGTGTTTAATGAGCTGATATGTCTATAATCAGGGGATAGCAAGGCACCAAATGTACCTGTAACATTACATGAGTGAGTTATTAGCCATTTTTATCTACTACATTTGGTACACTGTAGTAGAATCAGTGAAATGACATATACTTAGCAACAGGGCATTTATATTAAAACTAATCCCGAAATATAATTGGTAATAAAACATCTACTAATGTTTTATAATATGTTAATAGGGTCTTAACACTGATCTAGCCAATGAAGTAAGTAGAAGATAACATTCTAACCTTTGATTTCTTAATTATTAGTAGTAGTTACATATAGGGATATTGAAAACCCTTTGAAAGCAGCCAGTTATAGTATCAGAAATTAGGGTAATTGGCAACCCATGATTAAAACCAGGAAGGATTACTGCTATCAGCTGAACTCTCCATAAGTTTTTTAGCTGAGGACTAAATACACTTCTCAGCTCTCTGGATTTCTCTTGACCTTTCTATCTCCTGTTTGGATCACATTTAGGAGTGAACTGAATGAAGCTCCATAGATATCCAACTGAATTTTCCCTTTTAGCTCCAGGGGAATATTTTTGTTTGAGCAGGTCAAAAATTAATGCTCTAGATTGGAAACACTTGTCACAGAAATGCAGCCAAGAACAAAACTCAAGTTTCTTGCTAGTGAAGATGGCTAATAAAAGCAAGAATGGCAGCTTTAGTGGTTTCCCCAAACTGTAGTTAGAGCGCACTCTTCTGGGATACCCTCGGTTCCTGTCAGGCCTGGACAGAAGGTTTAATAGGAGAGAACATATTGCAAAAATAATCCACTTGACTTTCACTAAGCTACTAAAGCAGTCAGCCATAAACGAATGTGGGTTGTGTTTTTTTCTTTTTTTTTTTTTTTTTTTTTTTTTGAAATGCTGTCATGTTTATAGCAACATGCCATACATTTCAACAGCAGAGAAGTGATAAAGCAAGCTCTGACAAGAGTTTTGAAGCAGAAGCTAAATTAGGCTTAGCTAAATTATCTCCTCCTGTGTCTCCCCATGAGTGCTTCTTTTGTCCAGGAGTTTTTTTCTCAATCTCAGAGTTGTATGAACTCAGAGAGAGAGTATGTGAGATAAAGAGTTGACCTGTCATACCCAGGCAGAACTTCTGATGACAAGTCAGGAGTAATATATCACCTGGTGAGTAATTGTTTTGAATCCATTTCATAGTCCTGAAACCGCAGGAAAATTCTGAATATGCAAGATCTAAAATCCCATCTGTGTAATCTAGTAGGGGAAGTTTAGTGGGTTTAGGAGCACAATTATAGAAAATATTCCTCTTCTTCTGGAGTTCCATTTGAGTGCCTGGTGTGTATCACTTTTAAGAAGAATAATAATAAGAATTGCCTTTGGATTCAGGCATGCAAATTCAATAGCTCTTCCTGCTGCAGTCTTCCAGGCAATAGATTTAATTAACTCTAGAGCGTTCTGCTATAATGCTCTACTTTGCAATAGACAATTTTTTTTTTCCCAAAATTTTGAGTCTGAATTTAATCATGATCATTTTATACTCATTTGTTATCCCTCTGGCTAATGTGCATCTGTTAGGCGAGCCTAAACAATGTCCTTTTCCCTCATCATCCTAGTGACCATGCTCTGCAACAGCACTAGATTGAATGTATCTGTCTTAAACACGACTGATTACAATTATGTTCAGAATGCAGATTTCTCTTTTTAATTTGGTTTTCCCAATTAAAATGAAACAGACTACATAGATCTTGTTTTCTGCCAAGTAATCCTTTGGTCTCCTCCAAAATTTGGATAATCCAACCTGAGAAACAGATCTTAAAGATTTTCCTTCAGAAAACTTCAGGAATTTGTTCTCTGATCTCTCTAAAAGTTGTTGATTTGAGTACTCAAGGAACCTAACTTGCTAGTACTTCAAGGTGCTTAGTTTATTTAGTTATTATTTGCTTGATTCATGCCTACCTCCTTACTCAAATTTCTTTCTGTGTGTATATTGCCTTCTGGATAAATAATGACATTCTTAGCTTGTTGATAACACCATATATTAAATTTTGAAAATGGCAAATAATAATAATAATAATAATAATAAAAACCTTCATATTCTGTAAGGATGTTAAATAGTGTATTTAATGTCTTGAAATCAAAACAGTTCATTCTAGCACAGCATACTGACGTTACTGGAGCAAAGCATTAGTCTTTTTTTTTTTTTTCTGATGCAAAACAGAATGTTGTCTCTTGGTCAGTTTAATTTTATTTTACCATAGGAAAATAACTGAGTGGTATATTGCAGATTTAACTTCTGTTCACATTTATAAATTGATTGAGGTGGACATGGACATGGACTACGTGAGTCTAAAGGAAATGAGGAACTGAACAAGTGTGCCATTGAGAAAGTTTTAGCTCAGCATTTGTTCTCTAGCCATAGATCTGGTACATGGGACCATTTATCATTGGTGGTAAACATTTCTGTCTGCCATTCCTGCTCACTTAGTCCTGCTCCTTTGCAGGTCTGGG